CCCCTCCCCAACAAATAACGAGTGGATTTATCAAGATACTATTAATAAAGGCAACACTCATGAAAACTCAAACATATATAAGTAACAGAAGTATCTGACTTACATTAGAGCCAACTACAATGGCGTTGTTAGGAATGAAAGCCTGCTTTCAGCTGGCCATTACCTGCATATTCCTTACCTGCCTAGGCGAATTCTCCTGCGTGCAATGGCTCCACGATACCGTCTAAAATCGTCCTTTAGTGGAAAATAAAGTGAAAGATATATTTCTTGCATCTTAATGTTCTCTTCAGTCAGTGAACAGGTCTAATTGGGATGCATTGTCTCTACACAAACTCCTCAGCCGTCACAGTTGCCTGAGCCGAACCCCCAACGAGGCAGATAGAAGGACAGAAGTGCAGCCATCACACCATTGCAGTTCTCCTTTTAGAGGCAGGTTAGCATCCTTCCTGCTACCAGCAGCACACAGCCATCTCACTTTTAGTAAAGCCGAGAGAGGCCACTAACACATTTCCAAGCTGAGGAAAGGTAGAGTTCAGATGAGCATGCAGCAGTACAGGGAACCGGGTGTAAGGAAGTGCGAGTCCAGAAGGGACACAGAGGTGATGTGCCACTAACAGGAGGATAGGGCCAAGTTGAAGGAGGTCCAGGCTCCCCACGGTCTCAACAAGGCTCCCCATGTAGAGGGAAAAGCGAGAAAAATCATTTACTTTATGATGCAGAAAAGAACCTCAAAGGGACGTAGCTGTAGAGGTTGTTGATGATTGGAGGCGATTCCAGGAAGATTCTAGGAAGCAGCAACCACAGCTTTCCCCAGATTCAGTGGTCTGATTATCGCGCCTCATGTGATAAGAACTAACCTTTGAGATCGATTTGATCCTGGGGAACGTGACAAGCTCTTCTTTATCATCAATGGCGTTATAAATAAGAAAAGCACTGTTGATGTGCCTGCCATGACCTTTAGTCCATTCCTGACAGTTGAATGCCTCCACCCTCACTCCAACTTCAACACTGCAAGATTGAAGAGGACCACATAGGGGGTGGGCAGAGAGAACTGGACCACAAATATGCCCCCCTGTTCTCCGGCACCACCACCCCACAGTAACTAAGAGGGTGAGGCCATGGGCCTTTGCTCCTTGTTGTCTGAAATTTTATTCAGTTATTATTATTATTTTAAAGATCATTTTATTGGGAGTTCTTACAGCTCTTAAAACAATCCACACTTCAATTGTATCGAGCATATTTGTACATATGTTGCCATCATTATTTTCTAAACATTTACTTTCAATTTGAGCCCTTGGTATCAGCTCCCCTTTTTTTCCTTCTTCCCCCCTCCCACGTTTATGACCCTTGATAAATTATAAATGATTATTATTTTCATATCTTACACTGACCACTGTCTTCCGTCACCCATGTTTCTGTTGTTGTA